TTCCTTCCTTCCTTCCTTCCTTCCTTCCTTCCTTCCTTCCTTCCTTCGTCCCTCCCTTCCTCCCTCCCTCCTTCCTCCCTTCCTTCCTTCCTTTCTGGCCTGTTTGATTTCTTGCAAGGTGAGACCCTGGCACCCTCTTTCCCCAAAGAACTGGTGAGGAGAAAAGCCTGTGACTTTCCAGTGTGTTTTCACCTTACTGCAGCAGTTACTTGGTGATTGTCAGCGTTTTCAAGTTTGCCCAGAGTAGGGCCTTCACATCACTCTGTGTGTCCTGTAGATGTGAGCCTAGCAGTGTTTGTTTGTTTGTTTTTGTTTTTTTGTTTTTTGGGTTTTTTTTTTTTTTTTGTTTTTTTGTTTTTTTGTTTTTTTGAGACAGGGTTTCCGTGTAGTCCTGGCTGTCCTGGAACTCACTCTGTAGACCTGGTTGGCCCCGAACTCAGAGATCCGCCTGCCTGTGCTTCCCAAGTGCTGGGATTAAAGGCATGTGCTACCACTGCCTACGAGCCTAGCAGTGTTTGTGGGACCCTTACTTGAAGTGTGGTAGCTGCCTCCTTCAGATGGAAGCCCACTGATTTTCATAATGTCCTTATATATGGTCCAACAAGTCTGGGCTCAGCTTCTGTGTTTCTTGTTTGGAATATGTAATTACCCCTTTCTTCAAGGAATCCGGCTTCCTTTTTGGAGAGATCTGGCCCTTGAGCACCACAGCTGGACTCCAAGGACACAGCCTGCTACAGGGCCCACTGCTGCCTCTGCCCTTTCAGTGGATGGAGCAGAGTGTGTCAGCATATACCCACACCCGAGTTTGCCCTTCCAGTTCAGATTGTGGTAAGTGGTCACTCTCAGACCACGATGTCAGCTTCTGCACTTGTCAGAAGTATTCAGCAGGATTGGAGTGCCACGTGTGGTCAGGTAGAACAAGACACACTCAGCTCCTTAGCAGGGATTGCAACAGTTACTGAAGATGGTTAGAATTGATTTTATAGGTGAATTCTCCCCATTTAAAAAGTTACATTGTATCTGTTGTTAGAGCAGGGGGCAGGAATCTTCCCTCTGCTGGTCTTCAGTGCCCAATACCCTTAGCTGACTTGGTCTCTTCTCCTGATTCTCATTTTCTGAAGTTTTATTTTTGCAGATTCACATTTGTGTATGAGGGTACTATTCCTAGTTATTATATATGGATCAGAGTGCTGCCTTTAGACTTGATAGTGATTTTTGTTTAGATATAAAATTATTGGCCCACGTTTCTTTCTCATAGTATCATTTTACTTTACTGTGTGTATGAGTGTCTTGTCTGCATGTATGCCTGTCTATTATGTATATGTCGTGCTGCCAGAGGCCAGACGTGGGGGTCAGATACCCGGAATTGAAGTTAAAGATGCTTGTGAGCTGTCGTGCAGATGCTGGGGATGGAACTGGGAAGGGCTACTTCTAACTGCTCAGCTGTCCCCCAGGCCTGCCTCTCTCCAGCCCCTCTCATAGTGTCTTAGTTATTTTGACCCACTTTTTCTTTGCCTGGCTTGGTTGAGTTCTCTTTGTGTTGTAAGCCACCTGCTCTTTTGCTTGGACGATGTGTAAGGGAAAAGTCTTCTCCCTCTGCATGTCTGACAGACCCTTTAATAAACGGTCTCAGCACCTGTAGCTCCACTCCTACTTTCAGGAGCCGCTCCCTTCTTTCTTTCCTGGCCTCGGAACCGGGGCCTTGTGCTTGTCATTGCTGAGCTGTGCTTGGGTGCTAGCCCTGAGAGCCTGTTTCCTTGCCACGGTTTGCTCCTGTGTCCCCCAGTGCTCGCTTGTTGGCTTTCCCTCACCTGTCTTCTTCCTCTGTTACATTCTGGAACATTCTCTTTAGTCTTTCTTTACTTCCTTCTGTTCCCATTCGCTTTTCTATTGGTTTTGTTAAGGCTCTACCTGTTGTATTTGTTTACTCTTGAGTTTTCCTAACTTGGTCTTTCTGTAACTATTGATTTTTAATCATTTATTTAGATCTGTATTGATGGACCTGGCCTCACTTTGGTGGCTTGATCAGAATGTCACAGGAACTGGAAGAAAGTCACAGACGGATCTGCTAGGGGTAGCTCTTGAGGGCGGGGTGTCTGGAGGGCCATGCAGCTATGACTGGTTCTCTGGGATGTGTTAGTCACTGAGAGGCCTAGGCACTCTGAGAAGAAGGTAGTACTTACCAGAGTGTTTGTATACGCAGCTGGGTCCACTGGAGATGCTAGATGCCGCCTGAGGGCTCCAGACCTGCTTTTAGATACTGGAGGTGGCGTGAGGTATGGGAGAGTGAGGCTTTCATTCCACTATTTAGGGAAAAAGAGCAGCTAGTTATGTTTCTGAATATTTCTGAGTGCTCAAAACCCAAGTAGAGCTCTGTAGTGAAGCCCCTGCAGACCTTTAAGACCCCTTCAGTGCACAGAGCTGTGATCTGCTCCACACTGGGACCAGTAATTGTCCTCTGGTTCTTGACATTTGTCTTGCAGGTGACAGAACCCCATACCCTGTGACTTCTGATTCTTGCTTGTCAAGTGTTCCCCTTTCTCGCACTCTGGATGATGTCAGAGCAGGACCTGGCAGATGTGGTTCAGATTGCAGTGGAAGACCTGAGTCCTGACCACCCAGGTACAGTGTGGGACAGTAGACGGACTGTTGCTCTTCCTGTCTTTCCAGTATCAAAGCCACCATGCTGGACTTCGTTTCCCAGGAAAGCAGACACAGCAGTGATGCCAGCCCTGTGTGAAAATTCAAATTATAGGATGTAAGCAGGGCTGCCTTACACACACACACGCACACACGCACACACGCACACACACGTGCACGCACACACACATGCACACACACGCCCACACAATTATTTATTTCTGGAAAAAAGAGTTAAGGCCATTGCCCTAGAGGGCTGCTGTGTGTTGCCAAGGGAGGAGGCAAGGCTCACACAGATCTGCAGGTAGTAATTCTTGTCCTTTCTACGTGAATGCGCACACAGAGGCTGGAGAGATGCACAGGCAATCAGTGTGAGAAAAATTGAACTAGTTACATGAAAGCATTCATGGCATAAAGGTCAGTAAAGATGCTGAGCACAGAATTCTGGGAAGGTGGCCTGTGTCAGGCCAGAGCAATGACTCAGTGGTTAGGAGTACTTCCTCTCTTCCAGAGGACCCGGCCTTTGTTCTCATGTTGGACAGCTCACAACCACCTATAGCTCCAGCTCCAGGGGAGCTGCTGCCCTTTTCTGGCTTTTGAGGGCACCCCACACATACACATTCACATAGATATAGACACATAAATAAGAGGAAGCCTCACGGAAATGATGGCTCCTGTGCAGAGAAACGGTCTAGCCGGCAGGTCCGTGAGGTGCGGTGTGCAGAGCTGAAGGGGTTGCTGCTCTTTGGCTCAGTTACTACTGGTTTGTCCTTGATTGGGGATGAGATGGAGAGTTACTGCAGTGGCTGGAGTTGGGGCTACCTTGCTAAGCAGGCCTTCAAGGTCAGCAGGGACGGGTCGTGGGTGGCGCTTGAGCAGCTTCAGCATCCACATAACTCCACGTTGGCTCTGCTATTTTGGGGCCTGCGACATGCAGAGAGGGTTGTGGCTGTCAGTACATACATGCCTCTCGGCTCGGGGAGTGGGCCCAGGACACTCAGGCCAGGTGGGGATGCTATTGGTTTTGCTGTGACGGAGCCGGCAGCCACACTAAGGGAAGGGAAGAGATCACAGATGGAGGCCAGTGTCTGCCTGCCGGGCTCTGCAGAGGATGCATGGGTAGGCTGAATAAGGAGAGCCAGTGTCTGCCTGCCGGGCTCTGCAGAGGATGCATGGGTAGGCTGGATAAGGAGGGCCAGTGTCTGCCTGCCTGAGGATGTTAACAAAGAAACGGCCTGTGCCATTTTTCATCAGCCTTAAGGTGCAGCACTGTGCTTGACTGTAGTGGCAAAGAGCCTGGAGGAATGCAGCGTGCTCACTCCAGTTTCTGTCTCTGTGGTTGCTTTACAGTTGTTTTGGAGAATCATGTCGTGACAGATGATGACGAACCTGCTTTAAAGCGCCAGCGGCTAGAGATCAATTGCCAGGATCCCTCAATAAAGGTACCATGGGGCTCCTGTCTGTGCTGGGTAATTTTCTACCATCAGCCTGGGCTTAGAGAGCTTAGAGAATAGCAGAAGCAACCCTCTTGCAGCTCTGCGGTGGCGGGGCCACACCTTCTGGAATTCTAGGGGAGGCTTCCCCTGCCTTCTCTGTGCTGTGACCTAAGGTCTCAGCCTTGTCACTGCAGTCCGTGCCTGAGGCCTACCCTCACCCAGGCCCAGATGGGTCATTTATTTAAATACATGTGCAAAGATGCTCTTTTCAGATGAGGCCACAGGAAGGGCCTGGGCTTGTAGTATGGAGATGCCACTGAATGCTGCATAAAAGCACAAAGCACAGGACAGGTTCTCCCAGCAAAAGACAGGAGGGAACACTAGATTCTTCCTGTTTCTGCACAAGCCTGCCTCAGGAGGGAGGAAAGCTGGAAGTCACTGTGGCCCACCCCCAAGTCCTGAGGTTTGCTGCCTGGGGTTGGAGGCTCCTCAGTCAGCCACTTAATCACTTCCGGATTTGCTTATTTGGGATCCAGTGTCTGCAGAGCAAGAGGTAAATATTATTACAGGAGAGAAGTTTACAAGAGTGACTTAGATGACACCAGTCCTCCTCACAGGCTTCTCTGTGTCGAGGGCGACTTCTTGAGATGCTCAGTTAGCTCTGGTAACAAGAAGGTCGTGCCAGCTGATGTTGGGAACTGAAAATCCACTCATGCCAGAAGTGGTGGCACACGTCTCTAATCCTGGCACTTGAGAGGCAGAAGCAGGCAGATCTCTGAGTTTGTGGCCAGCCTGGTGTACATAGTGAGTTCTGCGACAGCCAGGGCTACATTAGGAAGATGCTATCTCAAAAAAAAAAAAAAATGAAATGCATCAGTGAAATCCATCTTGAGAGCAGTGGACAGAAGGACAGCATCAGATCTCAAAGTAAACTGTGACCTTAACTGTATCATAAAACACATTTTTAAACAATAGAGAAACAGACCATGGAGGAAAGCAGCTGCCTGGGTTCTGCTGAACACACTGTGCATGTGTGCTGTCACATGCAGCCATGTGCTGTCATGGGATTAGAAGACATTCACATACCAGATTGCCAAAGTAATTCTCAACAGACAGGCCAGGGCTGTCTGTGGGCACCTGACCTGTGGGGCAGAGTTGGGAAGACCCTGTCTCTCTTCTTCCTTTCTGGGTTTCTTGAGATATTAGTTAGTCTGTAACAGTGATTTTTCTTTCTCAGTTGGCACCACTTAGTTCTTTTTCATGGTGTGTCTGCCTGCACTGCAGATGTTGATAACTGAGTGGACACTTGGGGATGACCCCAGTGTTGCTGTTTGTTTCCTCGCACACACAGTCTTGCCTGTAGACAGCATGGTTATCAGAGGAGGGTCAAGGTCTTTTCCTTAACCTTTTTCTCACTAGTGTCTTTCTGTGAAAAGAGACCTTTAAGCCAGGGTTCAGGGTGCTGATTCCTGACAGGAAATTAGGAGTAAGGCCTGCAGCATCTAAAGAAGAATGTTCTCTAAGTTGTGCTGGGTCTGGCAGAGGATGTGCTGAGAGCAGAGAGATGTGAGAGCTTTGAGTAGGCAGCACTTTGTCACAGCTGTTCCTAACTGCTCTTCGTAGCAGGGCGATAGAGCAAGCTCCGACGTTTTCAGAGCCAGGTCTGGCTGCTTAGAATGCTGTCACCCATGCATTCATGCTTTGCTACACCCAGTTGTTGTTGGTGTGGTATAGGCCTCCAGCTGTTGTGATTGTGATACTGCTCTGATTCCCTTTCAAATTAGAGCAGAGATAGCCCCCATTAATGTGGACCAGGAGCAAAGGGGCGCACTGTTCTGCCTGCCTGTGCTCTGAGGTCCAGCGTCAGCCCAAGCTGCTTCCTCTGCTCTCATAGGCTAGCACCTTCTTTCTGATGTGTCCCTGAGGCCGCGTTTCTCTTCCAGTCAAATCCTTCTCATTGTGTTTTCTTCAGAGGCTGCTGGCCTTGTTTCTGTTTCCTGTTAACACCAGCACCCTGTACACTGGCTTAGAGATCTCTTTTCACAGTGGAATTCCTGTGTGTGTCATGTATCTGGTAGCTTCTGACAGGACTGTGACAGGACTAGCACTTGGGGAGCAAACCCATTCCCTCTGCTCTCTGTGTTCTTGAGTTTACTGTGCACGTGGCCGGCTGCTGGCTTTGAGCTTGGTAGTTGGAAACTGCTTCTTTTGTAGACCACTAGGTGGCACACTTGATATTTAGACGGTCCCTGGAAGGGGTCGTTGACAGATTTCAGTGAGGTACACCTGTGTCCAGCCATCTTTTTTGGTTTTCAGGGTTTGGATAGCAGGTATTATCTGTCAGCATTAGAAAGATTTTGTAGCTTTATGTGTGACTCCGTGGATGAGCACAGTGTCAGGCTTATTACCCCATGGCCTTAGTGGTGGTGAGATTGCAAGGGGCTTGTTTGACACAGAGGGCTGGGCTCCACACTGAATCCCTAGGCACAGCTCAGGGCTCATTCAGCTGAAATACATTGGGTGGACTTAGGAGGCAGCTGTCTGGGTCCATGGACTTGCTCCTCACAGTGGAAGACACCGTCTCTGAAGCTTTTCTGTTTTTACTTGCAGTCTTTCCTGTACTCTATTAACCAGACGATATGTTTGCGGTTGGATAGCATTGAGGCCAAGCTGCAAGCTCTCGAGGCTACTTGCAAATCTCTGGAAGAGAAGCTAGACCTGGTCACCAATAAACAGCACAGTCCCATCCAGGTCCCCATGGTGGCTGGTTCCCCACTTGGCGCCACACAGACCTGCAACAAAGTGCGATGGTAAGTCCAGAAGGGCCGAGGCTCTGCAGGCCCCCAGGAAAGTGCTCCTGTGCCAGCCCAGGCGCCGCTGTTACTGATCTGCCCTAGCCCCGGATATCTGCCCTGGTGCTTCCATGGGGCTGGTTTCACTTAGACTGAAACCAAACAGGCTCTGCTGGAATGGCCTGAGTCGCTCCAACTTTCTTTCTTGGCTTAAGCAGCCGGACTCATCTTTCCCTGCACCTGGCCATGAACTTGGCCCATGTATGTTGCTTCTTTTCTCTTTCTGTCTCTGACTGGTCATTGCCTATGTTTTCTTCAGGGGTGGTATTTATAATTTTTACTTGATCATAGCAAACTTTCCATTTAGTCTGATACTTGCTGTGTGCCTAATTTTTCAGTAGGTTTGTGGCCTCCAAGAGAGCTTTGCATGGTTTGCACTCTGCTGGCATGGAAGTGTTCATACCTGGCTCAGTGGGATGGACAGGCGCCTCAGAAGGCGTCCTCCTCACACTGGGTCTGTAGGCAGTGGAGCATGAGACCCTTGGGTGGCAGTGCCCACCAAGTTCTCCTGCTGTCTTTATTCTTTCCTGTGGTGTCTAGAAGGAAGTCTGCTCACGGTAGTGGGCACAGTGTCATCTCTGTGCTCCAAGGCCTCCTCTTGCCTGGTAGGTCTGGGAAGAGCAGAACAGTCGGTGGCAGCACCAGCCTCAGCAGCCTAAAGGACAGCAGTGGCTTTGCTGTGGTGTGGGTGGTTGGTGGGTGCCACCCTGCCCATGTGTGCTGGTAACTGGAGCAACAGTAGGCGGATTTAAAGGGGTGTGTGGGAAGGGAGAGTAGGGGTTACTTTGGATAGTTTTGGGGTGTTCAAGAGTACCAGTGACTGCCTGTCCTCTTTTGAGACAGTTCCTGATGAGACCTGTTGGGTGGACCCATTCAGTGCCTCTGGGAACTCTCAAGAGCGCCTCAGATCCATTCTGCTCTCCTGTGGTCCAGCGTCTCAGGAGAGGCAGGGTTGCTCTTATGACTGATGTGGGCTGCACAGCTCATCACCCCCCACCCCCCACTTATGTACACAGTGTCTGTGCAGGCCCTCTTTTGAAATGCTCCTTTGTCCCCAGACATAATGTTTATAGATAAAGCTTTCAGAGTTAATGGAGTGGCCTGCTGTCAAGGGATGGCCTGAGAGGACAGCAGTGTACGGAAGCAGTTGTGAACAGAGATGGAGCCTGGAGGCAGGAGTTGTAGACATCATCAACTGCCAGTGGGATATTCCAGAATGCTGAGTTCTTTGTGCCATTTCCAGTGAAGCAAAGTGTAGTTCTTTCTAGACTGATACAGTAGTCGAGTTCCTAGAAAGTTCAAGTTACATAAAAACTTCAGGACATCTTCTGTTTGAATTCCACCTGGGCCTGGGTTCCGGTCAGACCTACATTCCTTGTGTGAATGGTCAGAACCTGGGGTGTTGGTGTGGGAGGGTTTTGTGTTAGTTGTCTGAGGCATTGAAGGACACCTTAGCCTCCTTGGTCACATCTAGACTCTAATGGCATTTTGCATTGGTAGCCATGTTTGTCACACTGACTCCAGAGCTTTCGGGCCTGCAGCAAACAGCACTGCTTTCCCCAGGGTGACATAGAAGAGCAGTGATCTTTGCTTCTTCTAAGATACTGCCCATTCTGGGGACAGCACCTCAGTCTTTGTCACACTTGGAACATGGTGTCTTCAAGGAGCTAGGGAAGTGCTGACAACATCTTTTTTCCCTGTTCTAGTTCTGCCAGGTTATGGGAGGAGCAGGAGTGGAAGAGGGTCAGTTTTTTGTAGCCTCACCTTAAGGGCACATGCTTTGGAGTTCTGTCTGTTGGGGAGCACTGAGTGCCAAGGTCACCTAGTTGGACATTCCCAGGGCCAAGACATCCATGTCCCAGTTTCCTCCTTAGAAAGATGAGAGCTGGGACACTACCTGGGTGTGGTGGTGACAGGGCCACATTCTCCAGAAGGTCCAGGAAACTTGAGAGCAGCCTGGAGGATGAGAGCAGAAACCCAGGATTCCATCAACAGATAGATGACACCATTAATACAGATGCAGGAAGAAATGAGAATTGTTACACAGAACCTGGGCAATGGGCCGTAGACTGGCTTCTAGAGCTGTCTAAAAGGCAGCACCATACTGAATGGTGAGGTGCTGCGTTTTGCTAACCTGGTGCCTCTGAGGAGGAGGAGTGCATACATAGCTGAATGATCTCTGTCCAGATCATGCGCTCTGACGAAGAATTTAGAAACCTTGGGCCACTACTTGCTGACTCTGAGTGTGACTCAGAGGACTAGCATAGGAGCCATCACCAGAGTCTTTCAGCTCTAGGAGGCCTCAGGAGAGTGCCTAGAGACGTTCTGGAAGGACACTGCCTCTCATTTGGAGAGGCTGCATGTCCAGATCTAGCAGGAGGTAGGCCCTCTCTCTGCTCTGGAAATCTATGCCCCCTGCTGGTCATTTGACACCTGGCTGGACAAGGCTGAGGCTGCTGGGCTCCAAGGGTGCTCTTCTAATTGTTTGTGCTCCTTGGCAGACAGCAGGCCATGAAACACTGCCAACCTCAGTTGGCATGGCGTCCAGATTTTCAGATTCTTCACCTGAATGAGCAAATTCAAGAAAAAAAGAAAAGAAGGCCTGTTTTCTTTGATGCCAAGGCTTAATCATGATAAAAATGTTTGTGAGGTTCCAGGGATGGGGTTTCATCCAGCAGTGACATTGTTTCCAGAGCTGGAAGTGGACTTACTCTGTTGTGCCTGGCTTGTCTCTCCTGCAGGTATGCTGTGAGTTGACTTCATGTAGATGTACTTGTAGGGATGGCAGGGAGGTGTTTTACTGCTGAAGACGTTTGGAGGAGCAGTAGGTGGTGAAGCATCTGCATTGTTGTGGAAGCCAGTGGTCTGGTGAGCCAACCTTTACTGCTGGGCTCTAAGCCTTTCTAATAAACCAGTACTGTGCTGCCTAACCAGAAGGCCTCAAGGGCCAGCGCAGGCATTTTTATACAAATGGTGAGTAAGTTATCTTCCTGCTTTTTGCAGCGAGACACAGCCTGATGACAGAGCAGGAGTGTTGCCACAGTGCAGATACAGTCCAGGTGCCATGGAGGCAGCACCCAGACAGAGGCAGGGTGTTCCTCCAGGGTTGGCCTGTGGAGCATACTGCTTGACAACTCAACAACTATTAGAACCAAGCATTTCTGATTGTATTTAACTAAGACTATTACCTAGAACAGAGATTTATTATTATTATTATTTTTAAAAGCAGTAGTTTTATTTTTTCTTTAAAAGGTTTAAAATTGGAACTGGAGAGATGGTTCAGTGGGTAGAACCAGTGGGTCAATCATTGTCAGCACCGTGTAAACTCAACATGGTAGCATATGACTGTCCTCCCGACAGTCAGGAGGTAGAAACTGGAGGGTAAGAGGTTCAAGGTTATCCTTGACTACATAGTGAGCTTGGGACCAGCCTGGGCTACATAAGACTGTGTCTCAAAAGCAAAACTAGACACAATAAAATAAAATAAAATAAAATAAAATAAAATAAAATAAAATAAAATAAAATAAAATAAAATAAACACACACACACACACACACACACACACACACACACACACAGGGATTTTGTATAACAGTAGTTTCTAAAAAAATAAAAAAAAGTGATTTAAAGCTTCCCTCTGGGCAGTGGGGCAAAACTTCCTCAGGAGAATTTTTGTTCTTTCCCTTTCTCTGAACTGACGTTGGAGACTTGAAATGTTAAGGAAGCACTCTGGCTGCCAGCTCTTAGTTCCAGGTGATCTTTTGTTTTCCTGTTAAAGGAAGCTGATCTGTTCCTAGCTTACCTGCTTCTTGGAGAGCTTGTCTCTTGCTTAACTTTGTCCTGTGAGTGCTGTGGGGCTCTGTCCCCTGCTTCAGCACTCTGAGTTAGAAGCCTCTACTCTGTAGGCTGAGAGTGCTGAGAGAGGTAGAGCTGTTTGACTCTGGAGCGCCTGGTCTCCCAGCTCGAAGGGCGAGTTTCCGTCTTATCTGATTTTGAGTTCTAGATGCTTCAGTTTAATGCCATGCTTGTTCTTCCTGCAGGGCCTGTACTGCCCTGCACAGTCACATGCTCCTCTGTACACTTAGGGAGCACACACTAAAGGAGGGAGCACACAGCTCACACAGGAAGGTGGGGGTCCTTAGCAAGCCCTGCTGACTCAGGCATGCTCCAGCCCTCAAGGCCAACTCAGTAAAGCGAACTGCCCTGCTAGACTGTGGTCCGGCAGCTCAGAGGACTTCTCCAGCACCTGCACAACTCATGCTCTTTGAAGGGAATTGTGTTAGCTCTGGGTTGCTCTGGGAAGTGCTGTCATGTCTACCCAAGGTGGTTTCACAGACACAGTGAATCTTCTCATCTGTGTGTCAGGGCTTTAGTTTCTCCCTGTTGTACATAACCTATATTTCTAAGTACCTTATGCTTATGGCCTTATGTATGCCAGCCCGGCCTGCCTCCTGCCTTCCCCTCCTGAGTGCTGTGAGCACAGGCATGCGCCATGCTTTGTGTGTGACGTGCTGGGGCTCAAACCCAGGACTGTGCATGGTAGGCGAGCTCTCTCCTGACCGAGCTGCATGCTCAGCTTCCATGTGTATTTAAAACAGCTATTATTTACACGGATGTGGTGTGAGCATTGTGTGTGTGCTGGAAGAGGGTGTTGGCTCCCTCTAGAGTTACAGGTGTTTGGGAGCTCCTTGAGGTGGGTGCTGGGAACTAATCTTGTGTCATGAAAGAGCCATGACCCCATCTCTTCCCATGAACCTTTACATCTCAGTTTCCAGTTGTTTGCTCATTTCTGAATTCACCTCCCAACACTGCATGAAATCTGACACATCCCAGGTAGCCTATCTCCAGTTCCTAAAGTTCATTTATTTCAGTAGCTTTTCTTTAGGATTTGAAAAGAAATGAGCCTGGCATGTGGTGCACTTTTAACCCCAACAGAGGCAGAGGCTGCGAATTGGAGGCCAACTTGGTTTATGCATCAAGACCCCGCTGCCTGGAGTTCTCCCTTTCCTCACAGGGTTTCTATGCCTTTACTGTATCTGCTGTGAGCTCATTCCCATGCAGTCTGTCCTTCTGTTTGCCTTGGTACAGTTTTGTTTTCTGAAGGAGCTTATAGGCCGAGTTCTGGAAGAGCTATTCCCTACCCTTTCCTGAAAGCTCGATTCTCATGTGATAAGGTACTGTGCAGTATTAGTAGTAAAAAGAAACATTTGCCAGGGCTGCCATCTGGATTAATGGTTCTCATTCAGGAGGCCTTGAATTCAGACGTCTTCCTGCCTTAGTCTCTAGCCTGCGATTATAGACATGAGTCACTATGATTGGCTTAGGGAGAGACTTTTCTGACATTCGTGTCCCCCATCAGAAGATGGGGATAAAGTGAAGGCTACAGTGCCGTGACTAGAGTGACTCATGAACAGGGTTCAATGTACTGTGAGCTTCAGTGGCTCTGAGCTGTAAAGAGTTGTAAGTTCCTGGGATGCTGGCCACACCCCTGGAAACCTACTGGATTTCAAATCTTTAACTCACAGTGCTTAATGTCAAGTTCTGACTGGCGGCTGAGGTGGATATAGAGATCCTCTGCTTGTTATATGCTTAGTGCTGCCTGCTGGCTCTGGAGCTTCATCTTTCTGTCTTCTTTGGGATGTTGGCCAGCTGCATGAAGACCCCAGAACCCCAAGTCGCTTAGCTCATAAACTTAATTTAAGTTTATGTGGGCCTGAAGCAGCAGACTTTGGTTGTGGCTGATGGTCTTGGGGTGCTGGCAATGATTCTGGAACAAATTAGACAGAAGGCCACCACCAGAAGCCAGAGGTGCTAAGTGGACACTCTAGCAGGGTTGAGCAGGTGTGAAGGGAGGCGGCTCAGCAGGGCTGTGTCATTAGTGCCTGTGTGCACGAGTGTGCACGTGCGTGTATGTGCATGTGTATGTGTATATATGTGTGTGTGTGTATGTATGTGTGTGTAACTTGGAAGTTGTTGTGTAGTTTTGTTTATTTGTTTGTTTTTAAAGCCAGAGAGCTCATAAGAATTGTCCAGGGCAATTGTAAAATAAAAAGAGGTCTTAAGTTCTCTTAAGGGGGCTCTGCCTTCTTCTAGAATGTTATAAGAGAACACTGGGTTTACATCTAACTATGCCTGGCCAGCTCTGTGGTCTCAGGCTGGCGAGATGTCTTTCTGAGCTGCCGTCTGTGGCAGAGGCACTGAGATGCTCTGTCTGTGTTTTGGCTACAGTCTCTTTAGAAGATACTGCATTGCCTCATCTTCTCCCAACCCCCCCACCTGTGCGTGTGCGTGTGCGTGCGTGCGTGTGTGTGTGTGTGATGTACTCAGTGTTTTATCTCATGCTGTTATGTAGAAGGCACCCTGTGTTCTGTTTCACAGTACTTGGAGCCTTTGCGGCCAGTGCTTGTCATCCTGTGCTGCCAGGCTGATGGTTGACACTCCTCTGACTGTAGTAAGTGAAAGGACCTTGTTCATACCTGTCCCATGGCTGCTGCTTTGCCACAGTATAGCATGTTTTACTACTGAATAATTTTATGTAAAGGTGAGAATATTCAGAGTGTATAGCTTCAGCCACAGATTAACACCACTTGAGAATTGAGCATCAGGCCAGATGTGACTGTACTTGCCTGTAATTCACTCGGGAGATGGAGGCTAGAGAGTTTTAAGTTTGAGCCTAGCCTAGACCCCACCCCCCTCCAAAAGTCCCAACAGTCTATGGGTCATATCCTTTCCTTTTTTCAAAATTACCGTTAAGTTTTATGAAAAGATTTTTGTTTTGTCTATGAGTGTTTTGCCTGTATGTTTGTAAGCGTGCCATGTGTGTGTAGCACCCATAGAGGCCAGAAGAGTGCACCAGTCCCCCAGGAATTGGAGGTATAGCTGACTATCACCCACTATGTGGGTGCTGGGAACTGAACTTGGCTTCTCTGCGAGAGCAGCCAGTGCCCTTAACTGCTGAGCTGTCTCTTCAGCCCTTATTAAGTTTTTATTTAATAGAAAAATAGACAGACTGGGGGGGGGTTGAGAGGGGAATGGGAGGGGAAACTGGGGAGGGATGAGAAGGGGACTGTGGGTGCTTGG